CGACTGTGCGAAAGGAACATCTCGCTCGAAGAAACCGCTTGGCGCGGAGAAACGCGCTGTTCGCAAATTACGTCAGGAAAAATTTTAATTTGTACGAATTAATAGCAATTTTTTATCTTTTCAGTAGAACAAGGCGCATATATGATCAGACCAAGCGGTTGTTAATTTTTTTTGTCGTGACACATATAATCCGCTCATTATTCCTCCGTATTTAATAACTGTTCTAAAAAAAACATTTCTCGGATTTTCCATGTAATTCAATGAAAATATTAACAGACTCAATTAGCTAACATTAGATAAATAAAGACGGCACGACAATGTTAGAGATTTAATTTGACGTTTTTACTCAGAGTTTTACACGTGCGAAAAGAAGATCGAAAAGATTACTCGCCACGAAATCTAGATCATGGATCCGTTAAGTCTTATTTTAGACCTACGAAGTGAACGTTTACATATGATGGGTTCACGAGTTAAAATTTTTTCGCAAAAATAAAGAACAAAAAATGAAACTACAGCTCACAACCAATTTATCTGCGCCGGATGTTGATCGCCTCGTATCTTCTCCGTAAGAGAATAACTTACAGACAGAGAGGAAAAAAAGAGTGAGTAATTTGATCCTCTCTCGGATGAATGAGAGACAAGGAGCCAAGCGGTGCAGAGGTTCGCGGAGATACGAAAAAACAGCGGTACTTCTCGGTCGGGCAGAAAAAAAAAGAGACAAGGCCAGTCGGTTGTAATCTGGGATTACGTAAAAATCGAGAGCCGATTGTTTACGCATGCAGCGCATTTTACCGGTCACTTCGCGCCAAACGGTTAACCGGATTCCGATAAGGGAGGATCGCCGGAGCGAATCGATCCGTTCTTCACGAAAATTATCTCACTTAGTCAGTCTGGAACGCGAGCGTAGACGATTACGCTCTCGGCGAGATAAAAATGATTTTACGGCCGGCACACGCGCCGAGTGGCGGCCGATAATTTATGAGCGCAATTACGTGTCGTGAATCGGTATAAGAGCTACAAATATCCTGCATTACGGGCAAAATTCGATGCCATAATTCTCGACTCGCGATAACAGCAAATGCAAACTTCGCGTAATAATAAAATGAAAGAAAAAGAAAAGGTCCGAACCAGGCGATTATATTTAGCGCTGAAGGCGACACGGAAATAATACGGAACAAAGTTATCAGCGTCGAGAAATGTAATTTATAATTTCTCGCCAATCACCTGCGCGTTTCACTGACCCGGCGGCCGGCCGACTGCGATCGAAACCGACGACTTGCGCGCGTCGGTGAATCGGCCAATTACCAATTACGGATCGGGCAACGTCAAGGTCGGGATACGCGACGTGTCCGGTCACACGCCACCGACGTCGTAGCGTCGTCTTGGTCAGGCCCACTGGGCCACACGGATGGACCATTAAGGAGCCAAGGGCCGAGGAGGAAGCGCGGCACTTTGAAAGAACCCGCAGTTCGAACGTCCCACTGTCTTGCCATTTGTAAAACACATTTGATACTTCGTACTTCCCGAGATCTTCACAATAAGCGCTACTTAAGTCATTCGTGACAATGTTGCGAGATTGCAACATCCGACGCTGGCGTCGTTACTTCGATCGGCTAACGTTTCTAATCTACGTACGCTTTTACATTAAAATGTATTTATTTCTTAACAAGTCACGATGTAATTCAAATTAGCAAATTTAATTCAAATCAAAATTAAAATAATTTAATAAGCGATATGTAAGATCTCGCGTTCCACGTGTATTTCGACATCTTATTTACTTTAAGAGTATTTTTCGTATCCTTGAGATGCTCGCCACGTTTTAGAAACAAAGGGAGAAAAAAAGGAAGTATAGAAAGCTATAAAAAAAAACAACAGTTCTATGATCGATCAAAGGCCAGGCGCGCATACATATGTATATATGTATGAATACGCTCGCGCGACGACGACGAATGCACGATAGACGATGTCGCCATGTGGTGCAACATACTTTCAGGTGGCAAGTGTTAACGCGCGATTCTACTGCCGAGCGACGTCGCCGCTGGATTCCAGTGCTGGCAATTACGCGCGCGGAATACTTTGTAGCATGATTTACGAAGGCATGTCCCGATTCCTTAGACATTGCGGATACTTAATTGAAGTCCCGTGAAAAACTCAACTATCCTTAAAATGTCATGATTGTGGTATTTAACTTGCATTTAAAAATGTAATTAGATATTTTTAAGGTAACAATTACAAAATATAATCAAAGTAAATTACAATATTACAAATAATGAACAAAGTAAATCGTTTTTATTTTCCAAACAGTTGCTGTCTGCAACTTTTTAGCTTATTTTTTATTTCGCGTGAATTTTAATTTCAAAATTATTCAATTTGGCAAAAATATAATAATTATTAAAAGTTGAACAAACTTTTCATACGATTATATAAAAAGAACACCTTGATTTTTGCAACAAACGGTACGTGCAACTCATTCTTCATATCTGTTTCATGCGCACGCTTTAAAAAAAAAGCATTTATCATCACGCGTGGCTTATTCGAGTTATGCAAGTCGCATACCTCCTCGCTAGGAATCACTATAGTTAGATACGGCCGATGTCGCGACACGTGACGGAACGGCGTCTACTAAGAAAATGCGCGCGACATACCGAAAGCGTGAAAAAAATCAAAATTCGCGTGATGCACGAGAACGATAAAAACATCATACGGTACTTTGGTAAATTTATGATGCAAATGCATTAAAAATTATACACTTTTGTTTGACGATTTTTATCACACAAGCAACTAATAGTAAAGTAAGGCGCTTTAAAAGTAACTTTCAGCCTAATGTCTTTTGTCTTTTCATATATTATAAGCTAAAATTTTTGAATGACGTTAATAATTTGTTAAATATGCTGCTTTGATTTCTGATTATAGTGTATTATAATTTAAAATTAATCAATCTGTTTTTTAAGAAAATGTCAGAGAAGCAATCGTAGCAATTTGCAGAAAATCGGCGTCTTCGCGATTTCAATTCGCAATGTACAAATAGATAGATAACTTCTGACCTCGACACAAATTTGCGATGCGCGCGAAGATACCTCAAGAGAGAGAGAAAGAATTTTCAGCGGGTCGCGCGGCGATCGATGTTGCGATCTATCAACTCCATTCCTCCATCGATTATAATCCGTAATCATTGGTGTCATTGAGAGAGAAAACAGTGCCGAGAGAGACCGGCAATTAAGCCACATTTACGATGCTGCAAAGCACGTCGCAACAATTCTTCGTCAATATTGACTTGGCGCGCGCAAACGACGAGATGCAGCGCGAATCAGACTTATTGTTCGTCGTGTTTCGAAAGGCGTACGAGTGCGCTCGATATTTTGCATCTTACAATAAAGACGACTATATGTATGTATGAGCGACGTGAAAAATGCTCGCCTCAAGAAGGACTACGGGGGTCGTGCGCAGAAACGCAATGCACATCGTGCATTCAACGGTTGTTTAGCGAGAGATGGCAACCGTTTCTCTGAAACATACCTCAAGGGGATACACTGCAAATATCCCTCAAGTCTTAGAAATACCGTCGTACGCGCCTCCAACATGGAAATTCATAGAAGATTCTTAGCGTTGGTTAGCACAGCATTTACAAGTTAAACAGATTTTAAAAGATCGCGGAAAGATGAAAAATAAACTCTGAAAGATCCGCGCGCATCCCGGTAAATAAACCGCATTTATACGAAACAATGTTCCTGGAAATTTGCATAATACTCGAGGAAAGCGGACAAGGAGTCGAATCAAAAATTGCATAATACATTGCATTCACATAATCGGCGAGTCGTTAAATAACTGCAAGACGCTAAAAATGACGTCACGTCACGACGACGAAGGTAGCGCGCGGCGAGATCATTAATATGTAACACCGCGAAATATCCGATGTACTTGCAACGGCCGGCTTGTTATTTCGAGACACAGCGTTGTCTCTCGTTTTGTCGGACGCGTCGCTCGAATGCGGAACACCCGGCGCGTTTCCTTTTCTCCTACCGTTCTTTTCCTTTCTTTTTTTTTTTCCTTTTTCTTTCTTTCCACGACGTATTGACGAATCAATTCCACGACGGCACGAAATTCTCACGGGATCTCTCTCACAATAAATTACTGGCCCGAGGACGAGGCCCTCGCGTCTACCGACCTCCGCGCTCGCGCACGAAAACGAGTTTCTCAGTCATCGCACTCTCGCTCGCGCTCACACTTGCGCGATGACGAATAACCGAGTCTCCGCGATTAGCATACCTCATGCGGGTAGCCGAATTTGACCGAATGCACTCTGGATGCCGCGCCGCGTTGATTACACTCGATTACAAGCGGATGATCCCGCGCAATACCGTATTGAATAAAACAAACACTAACTACTTCGCTTCTTTTGCGATCTTTGTACTATTTCGTGTAGAATCTGTGCAACTTTTCATTTTCTACAACGCATTTTGCTCTTAATAAATTTGGTTGTGTATGTAAATAAAAAAAAAGAAGAAAAAAACTATAGAAATAAAAAAATCGCTCGTACAAGAATCCTTTTAACTGAACCGTTTTGATACAAACAAACGCAACACATCTGCTTATAAGAATTTCATGCAAAATAAATAATAACAATTTTGTGATCTATTGAGAAATAATTCATATCGTGCACACGCTGTTGGAATATGAATTTTAACGTGTCAGCGCACACAAAGTAATCGCGTATTTCTTAAACTTGACAAAAATTTACATTGAATGCATTACTTTCGATAAAATTTACATGAAGTTGATATTTGTGCAGCATATTGAAATATTAAATACAAACAGCGACTACAAACTGTCTTACGACTAGATCACAAATTCGTTATGTTCAAAACAGTATTAATAATAAAAATAAAAAAATAAAAAGATTGTTTTTTACCTTATATACTTTAAATCGTAAAAAAAATCTTTCAATCGTAATCATATATGTAATCACACGAACAATCTCAATAGCAAAAGCGGTTACTTACGCTTACCAGATTCTGAAGTGGAATCCGTTCTTAAACGTCGCAGGCTGTCTTCATTCAGAGTGTAAGAGTGATCGTTGAGGGTGTTCCGCCGAATATCACTGTCCGACAGCATTGGATTTTTTCGGACGAACCGTGATCGTCTGACTCGTTGATCGCGGTTTTTATCTTCTGGTTTGTTTCTACTCGCCGCAGCTGCTCCATTCATTATGTACTCTAAGGACTGGATTGAATCCTGCGCGCACGTTCGTTCATCATCACCGCTGTAGCTCTGTGGTGATTGCGAGCGTGGAGAATCGCCATCGCTTTCTAAGTTTCTAATTTTCTGTTTAATGGACGACCAATTCCGCGTCTTTGGAGAATCTTGGAGAGTGGATTTTTTGGCATCAGTTTGTAGGTCACGCGAGGTTATCGTACATGGGATCTCTTTTTTAAGTTGTACAAGGCTTGGCGAATATTCCACTGGCTTCACTTCTTCCTTTGATTTTTCTATTTTTTTTGGTTTTGTTTCTGTTGCATTTTCTACTTCTTTCGGATTTTCTAATTTGTATGAATCTGATATCAATTGAAAAAGTTCTTGGAAATAATTTTTTTGAGGGTTATTCCTCTCACAATAGGATGTCCTACTGGAAGTCGGACTATCAATTATGGGCAACCATATATCATTCGCTTTTTCCGGATTCAAAAAATGCTTGAGATTCTCTTCTGAGGGTAACATTTCGGATGAAGTTTGCCATATCTCATTACAGTAATTTGTCATCAAAGTGGTTGAGTTATCATTTGCAGTATCAATATCAATTGTGTTTGATGCATTAAGTACTATATTATTAGATTCTATATTAGAATCCATCTGCAATTCGTCGAACAATAATTCACTATTTAAGAGATGATCCATTTCTTTCGTCTCGTTAGCTACAATCGAGTTCCGTTTCATTTGCATGTCCTCCACATTCTCTTCCTTTACAACCTCGTTCAATGTCTGTTCCATACTCAACATAGCATCACAGACTTCCGATGAAGAATCTGCACAAAATTAAAGATTCATATTTAAGAGAGTGAAACTTTCTTTACTCCTTTATTTATCATAATTAATAAAATTGCATAATATTTACGATTCTCAAAAGTTTAGATATTATAACATTTTCGTAATTAAGTTGCTATTATATATTAATCACAACAAAAGTACAAAAACCTTGAAATGTATTAATTTCTTCAGAGTATGTATTAATCGCTTTAGAAAATTAAATTCTTAAGTAAAAAGTTAAATGAATAAAATTAATGAAAGCCCTTATACGGTGGATATTTGTGTTAAGCAATCAAATTTCAAGTTTTGCAAGCAAACTTTTCTTAAAATACAAACACGTAATTATTATAATATTATAATAAAATAAAAACATTTATCTTTCAAAACAATTTTAAAATAATTTCATAGTTAAAATATCTCATATAATCTTTATCTCAATATATCGTTGACGTCAAAATATGCTGATAATTATTTTACTTTGCAAAAGTATGAAATCTTATGTAAATATCAAAAAGAGAGATCTTCTCTTTTTCTTATATTCAGCAATTCGATGACGATCACAATTTTATGCCTTTTAGTAAGTGCTATCCACCGCGAATTGCAACACATTGCTTCATCGCGATAGTATAACACGCGGAATTGCAACATGTATCGTAACGACGGTTCTTTAGTGTCTACATCTGTAAAACAACTCGATATAAATAGATTTGAAAATATGAATGGAAATCGCACGATGATCACGTGCGCGGATTATAAAAATAGACGACTTATCGCGCGAGAATATATATATATATATATATATATATCCTATGTAACTAGAAAGACCGTAGGTACAAAATATGCAACTATGTATAGACATATGGTTGCAGGCAAACAACACGGAGCGGAACCGAAGTAGATAACAGAGCGCCACAAACCGGCAAATCAAATTCATTATCCGACGAGACTGTCTTAATAAATCATCGACGATCGCGGTCGTTACAATGGCAGGATGGCTTTTTATCCGCATAGAGAGAACTGTTATATCCTCTTTACTCGTAGCGTACAATCGCTGGGCGCTCCTTCGCGGTGCGTTTCGTTACCAGGTGCGCGATCCTTAACATTACTTTCTAACCGAGCACGTGCAACTATGTAGCGAGCATTCAACATTTCTTCGTACCAATCTAATTTGATCGGCCAATACCATTTCGTAACTGAGAAGCGCATAATACGGCTTCTCGCGATACAAATGTGTATCTATAGAAATTCGTGCGCGCGCGGGACGGTAATATTATCTGCTGAGTATTTTTCTTTGATAATTCAATTAACGTGATTAAGAAACCATAAAGAAAAACGTGGAGCTCATAACAATCGCCGCGGCACAAAATATTCTCCCTTCGTCATATAAGCAACAACTAAATTTATGCATTTAAGATGCGGAGTTAAATACAAGATAATTCGAAATCAATCCGATAACAACTTTTCAAGATTTGATTTAAAAATCTTAAGTGACAATAATACGGAAATGATTTCACAAATAATACATCTATCGAAGATATGCGGAAAAGCCAACTATGTTGCTCGATGACTCATCGCTTGACTGTTTCAGCGAGATGTGCGCTAAGATTTAAGATTGTAGTTTCGTCTAAACAGATGGGAAACTGTGCATACAGATGACGTGTGCGGGCGGCCTGATGCGTGTGAATCGCAATTACAGAGAGATTAATCTGACGGCATTTACTACCTATATTTCTAAGAATTTGCGAAACCTTCTACCAAAATGCTAGCTAATGACACTATCGCGATTCTCTTGACATATTTATCTCGATTATTTTTTAATAGCACAAAATCATCTCTTTGCATTAAAACATGATAATTAATGCAGCTATTTATAATTCTGCAATAATACTAATTTTCTTTATCAAAATATATAACATAAACACAAATTTCAAAAAGAATAAAATAGAATTGAGAATAAATTTATTTAAATTTTGAATTTTGATGTAGTAATTAATAAAAATTATAATAAAGTTACAATAAATGAGGAAAAAATTAAATATAAACGAAAGGAAAGAAATATAATAAATAAATAAATAAATAAATAAATAAATAAACAAATAAATAAATAAATAAATTGTATCTTTATATATATTCTAATTCCATATTGACAGCATATTAAGTTTTGTGCGGAAAAAAAGTTTAAAGGTAATCGAAGAGATCACCTTTAGAACAGCCTTGAGGACCAAAGAAAGACCGGCTCGCCGATGAAAAAAGATAAACCAATCTCGTTCGCAGCTACAAACACGCGGACAACAAGTGATCGCGAAGGCGTATGTTGACACATGAAACCATGAAATTATTGGCTACTGTCGCTCTTTGTTGAACGTTTCTTAGACTTTAATGCGTTAAGTGGTGCGCTGATTTTAATCAGTTATTTAAAAATTGAATTATCTAATTAATTAAAATTATCCAATTAAAGACCGCGTAAAACAATGAATAATTTTTAATACAACTGTTTATCATTTCATTTAATCGATTCTCTATTTGCGATAACACTTATTAAGTATAGTTGGCCGCCGGTTCACATATAAATAGATGAGATAGGTCAGTGACATAGAGCCGTAGAGAGGTCAATATCAGCGTCACAGAGATAGGTCAGTATCGCGATATCTATCACGTATATCAAGTTTTTCGTAAGTGTTGCGTAAAAAAATTGACATTTAAATTAATTTTTTAATACTACTTAATTTTTTTTTCTTTCAAATAAATAAACATAGACATTTTTAAATAACGTTATAGCACAAATTAAATTAAATTCATCACAAACATCATTCACGAGCTAGAATCGGAATTATCTATCGTACATTTGTTTCACGTACAATAGTTTTTAATTAAAGTCCAAATATTACTTTTAATATTCTACATTCATTAAATTTAATTTCCTGTACCGGTCACCAGAATTTATTCTTCTTTTATGCGCGCGCGCGCGCGCGAAACTTTAGGAAGCTGGTTAACGGCTATCGCGGTCTCTCCCCTTTAAGAAAAGCAATTTCATCGCCGGTATAAAATCGCTACGTCCAAATCCGACTGCCATGCACATTCGACGAGAGAAATTATTCGAGCAATCTGATAAAGAGCAGAGTTGCTTTCGTTTGGACTTTCGAAAATGTATAACACACACGCACGAAACGCGCGACACACACGATCACAATCAGCGCCGTGTCGAACCTCCTCTTGCTGTCTACGTGAGTCGCAGGGAAACGGGAAACCGGTCCGAGTTTAGATAGGCAGGTATACGCCCGGCTTCCGTCGAACATTATCGCTCGAGCGTGTAACGAGCCGACAACTTTTCCATCAGATACTAATTAAGGGACAACCGATACGAAAAATCACGGGAAGGCGAAAAATCGCGCATCAATCGCGGTTAATTGTCGATTAAAGAGAGCGGAAATATAAATATCGCGCACAGCGTTTCCACATAATCAGTGAAAGTACAATACGCGCCGAATACGCGATCATTTTTATCGTATCAATCAATTTTATTACTTCATGTGTCAAACAACTGTTACGTCGCGTCGCTGCGGCCGATAGAATAATCGCGTTCACAGTTGCCGATGGGAAAAACAGATTAGCGATTCTCAGGAAAGAAATCAGAAAATACTTTACGAAAACAAATGTGAACAAATTTTTGGAATGAGAATTAAAATTTTTCGGAGAAGCTACGTATTCATGGCTTACGGAAAAAAAAATAAGTTGTAAATATACAAATATATATATATCCTTCTCTCGATAAATATTTGAATGAATGAAAACATAAAAAGGTCAGTAAATTTTACTTGTATTGACAAATTGAAAAGAGAGCAGATATCGAATCATTTTTGCCATCAACATTCCTAGCTTAAAAAGATACGCACATTAATTACATTTTTGCAACATAAATAATTGGAGTATAAATACACAAAAATATCTTTTTTTTCAATAAAAATAATAAATTAACAAATACACAGTAAAAAAATATTTGCACATTCAGGACGAGTCTAAAACTGAGAAAAGATATCGTTTTTGTTTTATTATTTTTGGCACTAAAATCACGATCGCAGCGAAATCTTGTAATTTTAATTATTTTTTAATGAAAAAAAATCAATGCAAAAGTATCCTTTGAATAAGTATATCGACGAACAGGCAAAAGTATCAAAATTCATATTTTTCGCACTTTCTTGTTCAGAAATCAAAGACGCTAAATTGTGCTGTCGGATTAACATGACGAGCTTGACATTTCATTGTTGATCACAATGTGACATTCGTTACTTACGCAAGAAAATCGTCAATCAAATTTTAATGTGAGAAACGGTTCAAAGTCGTGTTTTACGCGATTTGTTAAAAAAAAAAAAAATGGTAAAAAATTTGTCACATGTAAATAAAATTCATGATATCGCCTTAAGTACGTCAAGTCCAGCTTATTTCGCGCCCGTTTGTTTCCGCTCGCGTACGAAGCAAAGCAAAGGTCTTTCCCGGCACAGCGCGATGTCGGCAAGCCCGTCATGTTACGTAAAGAACCTTTAAAAAGCACTACACACAAATCGGATTTCCACGGACCACCCAAATAAAATTCTAAAAATATTAGGACTTAAAATTATAATAATTATAGATATAATAAACATAAAAATTATATAATCAAAAACATATAATCATATTCTTACTAATAAAAATAAAATATAAATGTTAAAAATATAAAAAATGAATAAATTAATATATTAATAATAATTAAGATATATTCTATTTATATAACTATAATTCCACAAAT